AATTTCAACCTTCATACTTGTGTAACATAGTTTATAAAGTTCTCAAAAATTAAAGCAGAAGTCAACAAAACCTTTTCCTTGGTAAATATCTTCAACGAGACATAAACAAGCTGATAAAATATGTGGACCATAATAAACAATGCATCGCTTTGTTTATTTACAAAATAATTTCGATTGTCCAAAGGCAATTATTTTCGTTACACACTGTATATTCCATAATTTTTTGCATGCATCGCTGAACCACTATAAAACATTGAATGAAGATAAATTTAAAGTGAGATCTATAGAAGTATCTAATTATAATACCCTTTCATTGTCATCTCCTTCATCCACATTAACTTCAGTATCATCTTCCTCCAAAAACTAACTCTCTTAAATAACTTACTATTACACTATTTTGAAATATTCTGCTGTTATTGACAATACCTTCTATTAGATAATTATGACAATAATGGCATTGACCTGAAAGGTCTATGAAAAAGCATTCATAATGGTATAAATGTCCACAAACTAAATTACAGCCAAAAGCATGGCTTCTTGATCACAATATTTGTCAGCCTTTGGAGGAAAGTTTGTATTCCAAGCTAATGGAAGTACCTTTACATCCACTACAGTTTCAAATGATGGAAGCTTGTATTTTGGCTACTTATACCTACCTGATGTATCAACTATTGTCTTACCATGATTATTATGCACCTCAATAAAAAGTTTCAGAAGAAATGTTGCTGTTCTTTTTTTCATAAACTTCAACTCCCTTTCCATTATGAGGCTCTGAAAAAGTTTCCTTGAATGTATTGTACCATGTGCTTGATCAATATTTTTTGCTTGTTGAATAATTTGATCTAGAGAGTTTGATTCGTGAGTCTGAAGATGAAGTAAAGTTCTCCACATAATAATCATTAAATATCAATGACTTGTGCTATAGTAATAGATGTTGTGTATTGAACAATAAAACACATCACTGAAGAAAGCTAATGGGTTATAAATTTTTCTGCCATAAGTGCTTCTCTTGCAGGCTCAACCCATAGTGTTTGAACGCGGTCTACGTTCAGCATCAAAACGAAGCCTTCTTTCCCGTTCCAGCGATAATTCAGTTTCCATCCTTTCCGCTTCTCTGTTTCAAGGTCTAGCTGTACAGCTAAACGAAACAATAATCAATGTAAAAAAAACGCAAATAGGGAGCACCACAACGCAACTTATATACAATATAAACTTTACCAATGAAAGACCCAGCTAGCGGTCACAAACCAAAAGCACACGTTAAATGGGCGGGTGGATGAAGATAAGAGATAACATGGAAATGAGCACCATGACGAGGCGCAAGTTAATAAATGAAATTACGGCGGAGAAGTACCTTCCTGTTCGCCATTAATGTCTCTGATTAACTTTCCAATACTTTCAGCTGGTCCCAACGTTAAACCAAATCGCATAAACTTATCCGCTGTCAGCTTGATTTCTTTGTTTTCAATAACTTTATGTGCTTATCGTCAAGGTCCAGTTCGCCTTTTTTGGACTGCAAGTACGTAAGAACTTGAGCTCGCTCACTTCTTCGACCGAAGGGACTGATGGAAAGGACATGTTAAAATTATGGTGTAGAGAAATTATCAGCGCTATTTTATTAACATTTTCATGTGGCACAAAAAAATTATCTAATTTTGCAAACAAAATAAATGCACGATGTGTATGCTTTGCTTGTATGAATTGGTCTTTCCCTTTTATATGCGGTCCATAAGTACGTTCGCGAAACCAGAGGATGTTGATCTTATTACTGTCCTTATTCTGGTAGCTATACCGCTTAAGACTTCTGAATAGATCCAAGCAATTTTGATTATTGTTTAGTGACACGCGCAATTTTTTCTAAGATTGGTAATGCTTCCGTAAAGTTTTGACTGATGTTTACGTAGACGGTGTAAGCGGGAAATTACATTAGAAATTGACGTAAAAAGCTAGTTTTCCAGTGTTCAATTCGTAGATGTTACTATTAAAAAGCGCCAGTATAAATTACGCCAAGTTCGAACGTTTTATTATAAATTCAATAATTCGAAATTATCTAATTCGATCAAATAAAATGTCTCTTATTAGATTGTCTGCAAATTGACTTTACTATTCAGACTTACTGAAATTCAACACGACTACAAACTTTTGATGCTTGTCGTGATGTGATTAATGATTTATTATAAAGCATTAACCCTCGTATTCATGTGACGTTTTCTTTTATTAAATCCTTTATGAAAGTCATGTTATGTTAATATTATTCTTCTCAAGGAGAACATCAGCTTGGGATGAAAAGTCCTAGTCGTACGCTATCATCATTGAAGTAACTCGAATACATCACCTATCGATCTCTGAGTATGATGAATATCATACCAAGATGACAAAGGAATCACTGGAGATAGAAGATGAAATTGTTTACCTCACGGAACAGTAAGGTTTAGCTTGCTTGACTTGTTTTTAAAAAAGGGCTGCCCAGAAAATTAGATATGGTGTTTTTACCTAGTCCTAGATGGAATTTTTTGTCAATCTTGCTGACCAATCATGATGTACCTTTTCTATGGACATTATAATATAGAAATATGATTTCCATCCTACTGCCTGCTGCTCATTATATTGAATACCAATGCTATCCATAATAAATGCACATTTGTAGTAAAAAACACCAAAAGTCAACATATTGTTCTTTGATAAGCCAAATCAAATATTTAAATTTTAATCCGCATAGTAGATTGGCTGAAAAAAAATATTCAACAAAACTAGTGTCATCTGGATGTCCACCAATCATTATCCTTGTACCGCGAATATATTTAGCATTACATCCAACAAAACTTTATAATAAAAAAAGTCTTAATCTTTTATACACACGAATGAAGAGCAATCTCCGAAATGTAACAACAACGATATACGAAAAATAATGTAAAATAAAAACAGGAACCGAATCGTGGCGAACTGGTTTTAGTCTTCATCGTTCCCATGATCAAATAAGTAATTAGCGGCCAGCTGCTCATCACGGTCACAAGCAAGAAACGCCTCAATAGCCCGCATTCTGTCAAACCCTAAAGCCTCGAGCTGAGAAAATTTTAGTAACATACCAACAGGTAATATATATATAAATTACTATGATAGTCAACACATACCCTATCTATGGCTGCTTTTTCCTCTTGTGTCACTTGGACGTACTGAGGCTGTGGACCTCCTTCGGTTGTCTCACCTCCGGACTCTTGCAATAATTGCATAAACGTATCTTGGTTTGAATTAATGAGCTAAAAAAAAAGAAAAGGGAAGAGGGGGGGGGTTACGGAGGAGGCATCAGCAAATAATCCACTTGCAGCCTTTTCACAACAGAAAGAGCCTTACCTGCAATAACTGGGGATTTGCCTGTCCAATTTGCTGGAGCAATGCTGGCAAGAGTGCCGGATTCTGCTGAACTAAATTTCGCAATTGTTGAAATTGTGGTTGATTTCTCAAAAAGTTAAGATCCCCGGCAACTGCTTGTTGCGGTGGTGTTGACCGCGGTTGTGTTGGTTGTACGTTCTGAGGCTGGGCTGAAAAGGAATCCCAGTTAATCCCTAGAACCCATTCCCTAACTAAATGCAATTCGTATACCTACTTGTTTGTGAAACACCGGTATTGCCAGTTGCCTGATTGGGAGAGCCAGCAGGAGGTGAAGCCTGTTGCTCCACGTTATCGGGAATGTTCTGGTGTAATGAGCAATTATAAAAAAAAAATCAGAATTTATAGATTTGCCATTATGCTTCAGCCAACTTCAGACATACCGTCATTAAGTACTCAACAGCCCTAGTTGGATTGTTAAAACTAGCCCTCATGGCTTTCACGACTTGATCGCGCTCAAAACCCATCTCCATAATATTCTGTATCGCACTCTCATATTCAGCACCGACAACTATGAATAAAGTGGTAGAAATACGTCAACCCTGAATATCTCGCAAGCTTTAATAACATTGAACATCCTCTTTACCTAAAGAGTTCACATCCCCTAATGATGATTGCGTTGCTCCGGTTTGTGGTTGAGTCGTCTCCGCCCCTTCAGCAGGTGTAGTCGTCGTAGGAACATCCGTACTTGGTACTGGGGCTGCAACAGGTGCGGGTGGTGGAGGAGTAGTCGATGAACTTGTGGCGGTAGATATTGATCTTGTCGGAGCACCTTGTGGGGAAGCTGCTGCTGAAGTTAAAGGAACTTTGCTAGAAGATGTGTTCGCGGTTCCGCCGGATGGCGCCTTGGATACCTGTAGGGCGAGCCGATTGTGTTTAGAGTGCTAATGCTCGGAATGTGTGACGTATAATACGCGCATATAACCAACTCGAGCTCTACCTTTGAGACCATAACGACCACGAAATCTTTTTCGGTTATATTATACTCGGACAACGGCTTTTCGTCGGCCAAGATTTTGCCTATGCGAGATTGAAATTTGTAAGGCGTACATTACTGGTAAGAATTACGTAAATATGTTCAATACCTGAGAAGATTAATTTCTGTAATGGAATTTCATGTCCCTGCGACTCCTCTATTTTCCTTTTAACGTCTATAACCTGAAAGGCGAGTTATGGTTCAGCATAGAATCTGTTGAAAACAAAACTGCGCAAAAATTACGGATCTCCCAAAGGATCAGATACATTACTTTGTCTTCAGGCTCGACATCCAATTCAAACTGTTTTTGCTGCAAGGTCTTAAGTGTGAGCTTCATTGCTGCAGTATGTTTGGGTATCGAGCGGGTTTAACTAGTGGGGCAAGCGTAGCTTTCCTGGCAAAAAACTTGTAACTTTGCATGGGCTTACATCATCCTCCGGTCCTCGCACGATCACATGACTTGAGATTACCGCAAAATTTCAGGGGTTAAGAAAAATCTCCCGACTAAGATGTTAGATGTTATTGTGGCAATTTAATTCATAACTTATATTGTGATGTTATCCCTTATTGATTAGCCCATTCGATAAAGAGGATTGAAGAATAATGAATAGGACATATACAGCCGTGAGTACATTACTATTGCGAGAGAAGTTAATGCGACTGGCCCCCAGAGAAGGTGAGTAATAAACGCTGATCTACCGTGGCAAACGCGTGGTACAGGTAATGTACATTATTTATTGCTAAGGCCATCAATATAGATAATCGCTTTGTTATAATAATTTACGTTCATGCTCTTTTGCTTCCGTAATTTTTGCAACTTGTTTAATCTCTTCAATAGCAACGGTTGGTTATTTTTCTACAACAATCTTTATCACGATGAATTTGTGGTTTAAATGTTAACAGTATTAGTATGCAGGAAAGTACGGTCAATTCTTACATACCGATTCTATTGGCGCGACTGGCTTAATTTAATTTCTTTTGAGTGTAACATCGCTTTTGATGGGCTCCTTATCGCAATTCATTCTTGAACTGCCACCTATGACTAACATGCTGTAAAACTTATCTCACTTCCAATACCAATATCGAAGACGCTAGCAAATTGTTGGCTCAAAAAGTTGAGAATTGATGTTGTCGAAAAAGTTTTGATTGCCGTATAATATAGTAAAGTATTTTAATCTAAACAACAGCGCGTTGTTTATTCAAATTGCTCTTCGGAAATTCTTCCCCGAATTATTACCATAATCTCTCAATAAACCTCTATTGAATACTGTAGATATACTGATTATATACTGATTTATTAGCTACGATAATTACCAACCGCTACTCTGCTCGTGTCGAATACCCAACTCAACATTATTAATTAAATATAAGAAGGATTCATAGCTTTTCTTTTTTGCGACAATGCGTAGAGCAGTGCTCACACAATTTACATGCCAAAAAACTTTTTGTCTTGCAAAAAGCTACATTATGATAAAAAATACCGGGATATTTGGTGATTGTGTCGATAACGTTTATGATATGCGTTTGTATACTGTTCCTTTTAGTTAGAGTTTTGAGCGAACAAGTAAACGATAATTAGATGTTGGACCAGTCCATGACTTAAGTATTGTAACACGGGAATTATTATTGTTTTTAAATTACGTAGCACTTGGCAGTCATTTGATGATAAAGTACGACCTTTGTCTCAATTTTGAGTGCAAATAAGTTGTCTGGTACTATTGACCAACAGACTGAATCCACGTTATACAATCCCCTTGTGGAAATTGGTATAGCTCAACTGTATTTTATTTTCATCTCCAACTGAACAATGGTTTTTATCTCTTTTGGAATATGTGAATGCTGCCAATTACAAAATCTTGCAAGGGAGGGAGAGAGAGAGATTTAACCGTCAAGCAATCGCCACTTAAGCGAGAAATTGCGGCCAATAATTTCAAGACCTTAATTAAGCCTTTAGTAAACTGTAGAATTAAGGCTCGTGCCATTCGCGATCTTACTACGAGAGTAAGAGTAGTTTACAATATTATAGAGGTGCAACTGTGCAACATTTATAATCATAATTATGACATAGTTAATAAGCAAATTGCTCTGCCTTTCTTTGACAAGCAAAAGTACATTCAATATCGCCACTTTACCGTAAATATATCGAGTTGCTTATTTGTAACATGGCTATTTTTATACTTTATGATAAACAAGAGTTTGTTTGTTTATGATTAGTAAATAGTGAAACATGTGCTCTATATACGAGGTGTTGAAATAATATAAAAATACATAGTGAATGCTCTCTGAGATGTATCGTAAACCTTTAACTTTATCGCAATGCCCTCAGCTTTAGGGATATATGCATCAATCGACAACTTGATTCAATCCTCCTTAGCACATAAACATAAGCTTCAATGGATCCCTTACGAGCAAATTACCGACGTACAGTCAACTCAAATTGACATCGTCCATTACGCTAATTATAGTACACTGGATGACGGTAGAGTTGATGAAAGGAAGATAATGTTGCTATTGCTTGGAAGTGATAAAACGTGTTCTTCAGCACTCGTGAGTGAATTTGCTAGAATATATTCACTTCCAACACACAAGTACATCAATGATGTTGGTCAATTTAGACGATATGCGAAATGGCTTAGTTGTCGCAACAAGTCTATATATGGATTTGCTAAGCATGAAGATAACTATTACATGGTTGCTGATAAACGCTTTTACCATTATTACTCTCGATATGGATTTTGCTCTAAATGTCGAACCCTCCGATGTAGTCCCGTGTGGTGCATATGTGGACATAAAGAATTATCCAATGGATGGACAAGCAACAATAAGCAACTCGATGAGTTTATTAAAAAATCTCAATTACAAACAAACTCAGCAAACGAAGCCTATTTGGAATGGATTCCATTTGGTGACATTAATATTAAAGCTGAAAAAGAGAGTATATATTTAAAAGGCCTACCTACTTGTGCGGCTGTCAAACTCGAGATAACAGATGATTCATATTGTGACAAGGTAAACTATTCGATTATGCATTGCATTTATTGAATTGTTTGGATAATTTATAACCTATCATTTTCACTAGTTATGTGGCGAGCATCCCGATATTTTTAACAGAGATTGTTGGGTTATCATCGGGTTCACATACGATGCAAGTAAAGAGAATTATTACCTAGTCAAGGAAAAAACTGATATTGGATTATGTCTGGCATGCGCATTAGAATTTAAACGCGCTATAAATGCATTCTGTTATTGGTGTAAAGCACCAAGACCTCTTGACTGGACGACTAGTAACAAGTCATTGGATTCATTCATTACGGAATCGTGGAGTTATACGAAAAATGAATACGACACCTATGTGCAGTGGATAGAATACTCTTTATTGACAGACGTGCAAGAGTTGGCATCATTACGCCATGGATGCACACATATAGGAGATTGGGTAGAAACGGGAACAAATAAATCGATAAAAGTGACACTCAAACGGATAGTTGATGGACAGAATGCTCAGTCGTTTGATTTTTATCAGGTAATTATTTTACACGTAAACAATGCCAATAGTATTAATATGTGTTTCGCGCGTTAAATCGATATTGTTATAATGATATTCAAATAGCTAAAGGAGGATTACCCAGACATGTTAACACCAGACAATATCTGGATTATTGGTATCGCTCAAGACCCCTCTACTAGAACATACTATTTAGTGTTCTACTACGACGTACATGCAATCTTGGACAGGCTTATACAGATTGATGACGTTATTATATATATGCCGTATACTGACTTTGATGAAATTAAGGAGATTGGATCCGGTGGTTATGGAACAGTCTATACTGCCGAATATAAATCCAGTGTAAACCCACAAACTGTTGTCCTTAAACGTTTTAAGAACTTCAATGAGACGCCAGAATTATTTATTTCCGAGGTAAGCAATCATTGAGATTGTAAATTAAAGTGATATTTTGATCTGACTCTATTTATTCTTGTTTGCTAGCTCAGACATCATACCAAATGCGCAAGCTGGGCTAATGAATTCCTCGATATTTATGGATTCACACAAGACCCAAAAACAAAAGAGTGCATGATTGTTATGCAATATGCTAACAATGGTGACCTTTTGTCTTATTTGGATCAAAATATTAACAAGTTGACATGGGGGATGAAATTCCGATGTTTGAGGGATATTGCATATGATATACGCGTTATCCATAACGCAGGATCTGTGCATTGTGATCTTCATAGCGGAAACATAGTTTTGCATGATAATATATCAGCACCAGAAATAGATTTTCTCACGAGTGAACCATATATATGCGATTTTAGTCTTTCTCGATCAGTGAATTCAAGCGAACCAAATTCAACCATTCGAGGTGTTTTGCCCTTTATTGCACCAGAAGTCTTTCATAATGGCAAATTTACTCAAAAATCAGATATATATGTATTTGGTATCATCATGTATTTGATTGCCACTGGTGACCCACCTTTCCGAGATAGAGAATTTGACAGAAATTTAGTATGCGATATTATGGGTGGATTACGGCCACCGATGCCTGATTCAGCTCCAGAAGAATACAAGAAACTTGCCGAGCAGTGTTGTGATGCTGATCCTGAAAAGCGTCCAAGGAATATATCGAAGCTTTGGGAATACATGTGTAACCTTACCGACGAGGTGTACAAGGATACGTCTGACGACAACAAATGGAATGCCATTTATTATACCGATGTAAGACCATTATCACAGCTCGAGAGGGAGAGTAAATATTCTAGTAAGCTCTTGCCTACCGGAGATCTACCTAAACCGAGAAATGATTCAGCCGCAGGTATGAAGACAAAAAATTGATTACATGTTTGATATGAATAAATTTATAATCCATTGTTATATTATTTAGTGACTCAAAATTTTGGAATAAACTCGTGATTCACTGTTTATTCAAGAGTTTTAATTAATAGCATGAAATTCTATCAGGTTAGAGATAACGCAGTTACCAATAGAAAGAACTTACCGATTGCACTTTCCAATCGGTGTGTAAGATATCAATTTATCGAATCGACTGTTCAAAAACAATTTTCCTTAAAATTTCCCCCTTCATCACTTGTATATACGAATATCTTTTTCAAATCAACAAACCTTTTACGTACATATACTATTGCATATTTCTTCCTTGATACTGTAAATAATCATAAAACAGAATTGATGTAAACGATAAAAGAGTGGTATTTAACTTAAAGTATCTGTATGACAATCGAAAGATATAAAATACTCATTGGCTAATGACTGGTCATTACAACCGCAACAATTTGACAATTGCTTTATACTGTACCTATTGTCCAATATCACCG